TCTCTGCTTTGGGGATCAAGGTGATGCTTGCTTCCAGGAATGAATTTGGGAGTATTGCTTCCCTTTCAGTTTCATTGAAGAGTTTAAACAGTAGTGGCAACAGTTCCTCTCTAAATGTCTTGTAGAATTCAGCAGTGAAGTCATCAGGGCCTGGGCTTTTCTTAGTTGATAAGTTTTTAATTACATTTTCAGTTTCATTGGTTGATATTGGGTTGTTCAGAGTTTTTAGGTCTTCTTCATTCAACTTTGGTAATTCATATGTATCTAGGAATCTGTCCATTTGAAAGTACTTAGTATTGATCAAAGAAATTTCAAATTACGTTCCATTGGGTGGGGAGAAGAATTTTCACTTTCCAAGCATCCTGAGGGAACAGAAATCAAAGCAATAACGTATTCAGCAATGCAAGTCTAATGAAGAGAAACCAGAAGTTTTTGTGATCATTGACATTTAAGACACTAAAAAAAAGAGAAGAAAAAAAAGAAAAAAAAATTATTTTTAAATTGAAACACAGCTAAATACTCCAATCTTTTTTTTTACTTCTTGTAACATTTGGTATTAATTGGAAGTATATTTCTACTGTTTAGATGACTGCCCTATTATATAGTAATAATTGAAATACCTTATTCTGTATCATCCCCTTCAGTTGTATATTCAGTACCTGACTGTATAGTTTTTTAACATTCATAAAACAATTTATGTTCTTAAATGAAATGTCTATTATTGTTTTTAATATCTCCTATAGTTTTTCAATCAAGTCCTGGTGCTGGGAAGATCATCAGTAAGTGATTTGTCAGAACATGTATTTGATCTGATTCAGGAACTTTTTGCCATAGATCCTCATTTGTTATTATCTGTCATGCCGCAGCTTGAATTCAAACTGAAGGTAGGATTGTTCAATTTTCAAGGCCTTTAAGTTTAAAGAATATATTGAAGAGTTTCTCTCTAAGTATAAGAATACAATGTGAATTCAATTTACCATTTTCCTTTTCAAGTATACATTTCTCAGTTGCTTGAATAAAACTCATTTGGGTGAGAAGAGAATTTACATAGCAAAAATGATGCTACCCTTGAAATTTACAATGTACACTATGATGATATTAAATAGTATTAATTTATTAAATTATGTGTATTTTTAAAATCAGATTTTTAATTGAGTGCTTTTGAGAGTCTCAATTATTTTATGACCCTTTTATGCTATAGATTAAAAAAATATATTGAATTGAGAGTATACTGTTATAACTTAAAGGAATTCATAATTTATATATATAAAAAAAAGCTTGCAATCAATGCCACATCTTAACTGAACTGTAGAGCCTTTTTTTTTTGAGGCGAGGCGTGGCTGTGTATTTAAGGCTGGCCTCCAACTCACAGTGATCCTCCTGCCTCAGCCTCCCAAGTGCTGGGATGACAGGTAATCCTGGCCACACCCGGCTAGAACCTAACTGTTTACATTTGTTTTTTGTTTTTGTACGAAGGATCCAATACGTTTGTTTTTATATCTTTTTTGTGTGTGTGGTACTGGCGATGGAACCCAAGGCCTTGAGCATGCTAGGCAAGCACTCTACCCCTGAGCCACAACCCCAATTCTTTTTATTTCACTCTTTGAGACAGTCTAAATTGCCCGAGCTGGCCTATGACTTGTGTTCCTCCTGTCTAACCCTTCTGAGTTGGTGGGTTTACAGGCATGTATCACCACATATGGCTATATATATA